AAACTACAACATCAGTGTAATAAATTCTAGCAACAAATATCAAAATTAGCCCAAATTTATCAATCAACTCTCATGATGCAAAATGTATAAAATATGTATAAAATGATCATAATATGATTTTAAGAGTGCTAAATTTAAAGCTATACCTAGATATAAAGGATTTGAATGGTAACTCTTTTGGAGAGTTATTAACATCCTTAATCAAAATCCAACAAATTAATGCAAATAAAAAAGGTAAACTATATAGGTGATCTCTTACGTTATCAGTCAATCCAATTTTAGTCACTAGTTTAAAAAATAATGATTTTAGTCCCTTACGTTATCAGTACGATCCATTAGTCCCTCAACCATTAATCAATTAACGAAAGTCTGAATTGATAATAAAAAATAAAAAATAATGCACATGTCATTCTTCTTCTTCTCCTCATTAAACCACCCACGAACATTTAATTTTTATTCTAATAAAACCATACAAAAAACCACTAAAATCCTACTCCCTCTAACTTTAACATGAACTATGCTAAATTATAAGTTTAACGTGCATATATATATATATATATATATATATATATATATATATATATATATATATATATATATATATATATATCGTAATTTTGCATAGTTACAAGATACAATAAAGATTAACTAGAAAAAAACCTTTTCAACAATTAGCTGGTCTAATGGGATAAGTCACTAGATCCCTTAAGTACTGTCAAGAGTTTGAATCTTAACGTTTGTGAGTGGAACATATTGGGATAAAAAAGTCATCTTCACCTCTGCAGTACCTGTCAGAATTAATCAATTTATAGATCGAATACAAATGATTATAAAAAAACTTATGAGGTTAAGTACCTACACCTAGTACTTGAGTAGAAGTAATTCGTTCTTTTTGGGTTATGTGTTAACATCCTGCGAACTTAGGTCCTTGACATTGTGCGAAATAGATGACCATGATTGGCTCATAAACTCAATTTCTGCTTCCAAAATATCATCAAATATTCCTTTCTCCATTTCTAAAAGGGAGAAACATTCATCAAAATTATTTACTTACACTCAACTATAAGTTTTGAAGGCATTTAATAAAACCACAACTTAGTTTCCAAAAAATAATGATATTATTTTCTGCAACTAATCTTTATTTTCTCTGTCCAAAATGGAGAAACGCCGCTAAATAAGATATACAATATAACTCATGTAATCTAAGAGACTTCAGTGGCTAAGAATTTTTTATTATTCCTTGAGGTTCCTAGCTCGAGCACTATGTATGTCAGGGGTATGTGTGTTCAATATCAAATGTTTGAAAGTTTTTCACTAAGGATTATATCACCATATGAACAACCTAAAATTTATAGTGTTTTCTTTTTTTTCTTATTGCATATAGAACACTAAATATAACCCCCTATACCCATCCTATGCATTACGAATAGATCTAGCGGATTACAATAGAAATTTCTAAACACCTTTAAAAACATAGTTATTAATGATATGATCTAATTTAAGTAATATATATATATATATATATATATATATATATATATATAACCATAAATGATTGAGTAAAATAAAATCTATCACAAATCAACATCGATGTAATTCTAACATCAATAGCAAAAACAGTGTAAGTCGTAAAATAAGTATTTCAAAATATGGGCAAATGTCACCGAAAATGAAGGCAATTTGGAAGATAAAAACATTACAACAAAAATATATTGTACGAATGAGTCGATCCTCTAAGTTTCAGGTTCGGGGTACCTATCCAAAAGTATCTGAAAGGGAGGAAAATTTTCAAAAAAATGAGTTAGTGAGCTTAGTGTGTTCCAGCAGTGCAAAATAAAAATATACAGTTGAGTTTTGAAATCAATTCGTTATCAAAGTTATGAAAATGATAGTAGAGTTGTATTTTAAAATACAGAATAACCTTCAAACTGTACACCATATACAGTTCCCCAGAACTGTATCCATAAGGACTTACCCTAAGCCCAAAGGGCGTAAGAGCCAACCTAAAGGAACACCTTGGGTCTACAAGGTCTTACCCTAGCCGAAACATAGGTGCCTACATGAGGGGTGTGCCCACTGGCCCATAAAGACTTACCTTAGGCCCAAAGAGCGTAAGAGCCTACCTAAGGGAACATCTTGGGACCATAAGGTCTTACCCTAACCTAAGCGTAGGTGCCCACCCGAGGGGTGTGCCCATTGGACCATAAGGACTTACTTAGAGCATAAGGCAAACAAACCACCCAAAATGAGTACCTTAAGGTCCATAAGGTCTTACCACTAGGCCCACCCAAGGGTTGCCTTAGGTTCATAAGAAATTACCAGCTTGATCGAAGCTGAACCTACATGAGGAATTATCAGCTTGATTGGTGCTGAACCTGCAGAGACTTCATACCAGATCCCGTAGTACCCTGAAGAAAATAATTTTCAGGCAGTAAGTAGTGGTAGCAGAAACACAGAGTTCAGACATATAATTATTTATCAGTAAAGCAATAACCAGAGAACATGCATCAAGAAAGCATGATTTAAATTATAGTAAATTATGAATCATACTTAAATTGGATAAAATCATAAGGTAATCAAATCAGAGTAGACAATACAATTCAAATCAGAGAAAATATTCATGTGCACATGGTATTTCAATCATATATTTAAAATAAATATATGGTACACAAGAAACACGTCTTGCAAAAAGAATCAGTCTGGTAGATCTATCAAGCACCAATTTCACTATGCTCTTCGACTGTACAAGAATCTAAGTCATATCAGAACAAAATTATTATCGGAGTAGTACACTAAACTAAGTATTTAACAGGGTTACAAAACTATACGAGTAATCATGGGCTTTTGTAGATGAGTGAATAGAGAATAACAGAGTCGAGAAGACGAACAGTCGGGATAATCACATGTACCTTTAATATACGATAGCATAAATTAGTCTTTGACCCTTTAATTAAATTAAATTAAACGCACTTAATTAAATCACATAAATTACATATGCATATTCGAGTTTATGGATCATTTCGAAGGTATTGGTTAGAATTTGGCAAAACGGACTTTGAATTCGGGCTCAAGACGTAGAAAAACATAAAATATAACTTTTCAAAAAATTTGACTTTTGGTTAAAGTCAACGGTCAAAACTGGTCAAAGTTAACGGGTATGGTCAACGGTCAATGGGCGGGTCAATGGTTCGGGTCAAAGTCAACGGGTTAGATCGATTCGGGTTGACTTAGACATGTTCGATCTAACACGATTCGGTTCACGTTTGGTCTAGAAGGGTATTGGCCGATGGAGGAGCCCCACATGCATTGTAAACCAAAACAACACGCAATTTAAGCTAAAAATTATAAAAATTGAACGAAAATGTTCTAACATCTTACCCCGACAGTAAACGGTGAGAAAGGAAACAATGACGCGACCCACTGGTTGGGTTTTGGTCGGACGACGATGAAGAGTCTAGTGGCGGCGGCAATAAGGCAAGAGAACAGTCGTGGCGATTGAAAAATGCGATAAACGAGGGTTTGAACTTGGGTTTTCAATGAAGCTTCAACCACTCATCCACTATGAACGACGGGCGTTTAGTGACGATGGCTGGCAGGGATTGATTTTTGGTAACCTGGTGCATTGGAATGGAGGTGGTCGTGCTGATCACCGACCACCGATGGTGGAGATCCAAAGTGAAGTGAACCGAACAGTTTTCTCATTCTTCGTGACGAACAATGGTTGAAATGGGTGGGTTAAAGGTCGGGGTTGAATCACCGATTGTTGCTAAGTCCGAAAGCGATGGTGGTGCACTCCATGCCTGTTGGAGAAGGATGAACGACGAAGGGCGACGGGAAAAGGATTTGATTTAAGGTAACTGGGTTTTCACGAATGAGAGAAGAGAAAAAATGGGTTGATGGTCGGGTATTTACAATCTGACCAAAATATTATTACAACTTATATTAATTACATAAAACCTCAATAGGAGTCTAGCCTATATAGGTAAGGCATGGTTTTGCATACCATAATGCCATGAGTTCAAACCAGCTTAGCCACCATTTTTCTTATTTTTTATTTTTCTCTACTGGCCTAAAAAGGGAAATTCAGGGTTAAGTCCATGGATTTCCTATATATTTGAAATTAACCCAGTAATTTTTAAAATTACCCATTTTGATCTTTTAACTAAATTAAATAAATTAAATATATTTTAAATTAAAATTTGGGGTGTGACAATTGAAATGGCCGTGGGTGGTTTAATGGGAAAAAGAATAAGAAGATGAAGAAGAAGAAGAAGAAAAAGAAGAAGAAGACACGTGAATTATTAGTTAAGAACGGAGCCATGATTGAACAATAAGGGGACAAGTTGTTTTATTTAAAACTAACAAGGTCTAAAAGTAATTAAATAATAAAAATTAAGTGAATAAGAGTTTAATTTCATTAATTTTAAAATTCAAAGGTCTTAAAATGTAATTATACAAAATAAATTTGGGGTCAAACCATTAGTTTTAAAATTGATATTATCTTAAAAAATAATTTTACCAAAAAAATTATGAGGGACAAAGGCTTAATTGTATGATTTCAAAATTATCAGTAGGTTAAAAAGTAATTATACCATGAAAGTTGGAATCATTACCCTCCCACCTAAAACATTGTTCCATACCTGATGGGGTGTTAACGATTGAATGATTAAAATTGAGCGAATTAACAGCGTAAGAGATCAAAATCACTTTTTTGGAATTGGTGACCAAAATCAGACAGACCAAAAATATAAAGCCCATCCATATAGTTTACCATTTTAAAAAAATAGTTAATTGACTAAAACAAAACAAAAATGATAATTAGATAACTAAATACGTAATTTTTTCTTATTTTGATCCAAAAACCTCTTTCAATAACAATTCAGTTCAAGCTGGGTCCAATTCTCCAACAGCAAAACTCAAAAGCCCAAAGCCGAAAAGGTTATAACTATATATACCCATCAATAAAGATAGGGTTTTTGAACTGAAAAAGAGTGTTGCTCTTGCAGCCGTCTGCGCGTCGTAGCTCGCCAGCAAAGTTTCGAACATGGCCGTCGGGTAGTCTTCTTGCTCTCTTTAATCTCCGCCATTGTTAAAAATATGTTTCTCTTCTGTTCTTTAATCTGCTTTGTCTTATATTTGTGTTGTAATATAGGAAGAACAAGCGGATTTCCAAGGGAAAGAAGGGAGGAAAGAAGAAGGCGTGAGTATCATTTGATTTTTTTTTACCTTTTAATCATGCTTTGGGTATGTTAGAAAGATATATGTTTGTTGAGTGTTGATTTTTTCCGGGTTCTCTTTAGAGCTGATCCGTTTGCCAAGAAGGATTGGTATGATATCAAAGCTCCATCGGTTTTCACTACGAGAAATGTCGGGAAGACTCTTGTTACGCGTACTCAGGGTACCAAGGTGTGTTTCCCCAGTTAACTTGTTACTTTTGAAAGCCCTTTCTTTGATAACTTGAGTGGAAATTTGGTTTCGTTCAGATTCTTGTTGCATTTTGTTGATTTTTTAGTGTTATATTGAAATGTTGATAAGTGAGTTTTTCATGCCATTTGTTGTTTTGCTATCGATGTTTGACTCTGATTGATGACTCCAGACCTTAACGAACTGAGTTGAGCAAGGTCCAACTTGACTCACTTAGTTCGGGTTTGTTAATTTTTTTTAAATAATTTTTTAGTAGTTATCTTAAATTATTGCATTAAAAAAAATGAAAGTCCAAATGATTATTACTAACTTACTAATAGATAATAAGAAAGATGTTAAATTATTAATTAATAATTATTAATAACTATTACTAATTTACTAATAAATTATTTTTTAATAAACAATAAAAAAATATTAAATTATTAACTGTACCCAAAAATTCTAGCGAGCTTAACCAGTAATGTGTATGAGTCGAGCAACAAATTTTTTTTAATGAGCACGAGTCGAGCAAAATTTTAAAGATTGCTCGACTCATGCTCGACTTGCTTGATAAGAACCCCTAGCACAGATTATTATTTTGTATTTTTCTTCTTTGTGGGATTGATTATAATTGTTGCTAGCTGAAATGTCTGCTTCGTTTATCTGATAAACTGTTAAAAGCCTGATATATTATATTGGCTTAAACTAGAAAGCGCTTTTTTGCTTTAGCTACCTTAACTATTTTTTAGTCAAAACAATCAATATCTCATTGGTCGAAAGAAATTTTTCTGACTGAAAGTATGACAGGACTTAGAATGGTTACATATAATAGTTTAAGGACTTATTTTGATAAAAAAAAGTAGTTTAGGGATTTAAAGATGAAAGAGACATAGTTTAGGGGATATTCTTACATTAAGCCTATTATATTATCAATCAAATTGGCTCTGCAATGGTTGAAGTTTTAATTTGTGCTGTGTCTGGTATGAAACCTCAATTCATGTTAACCTTTTACTTCATGGATACCTAGAGGATGTAACAATTGATTATGATAGAAATTCTAGGAAACCATAAGATTACCTTTCAAGGGATTAGTGTTGGTAAATTATGAACTTATTTTTTCCTTGTTCTGTTTAGTTTTTGCATTATTGGTCAGCTTAAGTTATTTAGACACTTATGTTGGTTTCCACTTACGTTGGTTTCGGACCTTGGGTAAATCTTAGTATTTAATAATTCATGACTGCAGCAGTGTTACTTAAGCCTGCTAAATACATTATTGTTTGATTTTTATCTGCATATTAAATGGTTTGGCCTTTACTATTTTATTGGCAGATTGCTTCTGAAGGACTTAAACACCGTGTGTTTGAAGTTTCACTGGCTGATCTTCAAGGAGGTGATGAGGATCATGCTTACAGAAAGATTCGTTTAAGAGCTGAAGATGTTCAAGGGAAAAATGTTTTGACCAACTTCTGGGTATGATAAATACAAGTATCTTTTGTTATGCCATTGTTTCTTTGTTGTTTTTGTTGGTAAGTTGACAAATTTGCTTTGTTTTCCTTTTCAAATTTCCAGGGCATGAATTTTACGACAGACAAACTAAGGTCTCTGGTGCGCAAATGGCAAACTCTGATTGAAGCTCATGTGGATGTGAAGACAACTGACAATTACACATTGAGAATGTTCTGCATTGGATTCACTAAAAGACGCCCAAACCAGGTTAAAAGGACTTGTTATGCTCAATCCAGCCAGATAAGACAGGTATAATTATGTTATCTTACATTTATTTAATAATCGTATTTTGTAATAAATTTTCTCGTCTTATACGTCTTTATATATTGGAACTTCACTTGTTACTTACACTGTATTTATGCATTCTTTGAATTGGTCAACCCCAAGATTAATTGAGCGAAGTTGCTTCTGATATTTAGATACGCCGAAAGATGAGGGAGATAATGACTGCCCAAGCAACATCCTGTGACTTGAAGGGATTAGTTCAAAAGTTCATTCCTGAGATGATTGGAAAAGAAATCGAGAAGGCAACATCCAGCATCTATCCTTTGCAGAATGTTTTCATTCGTAAAGTAAAAATCTTGAAGGCACCCAAGTTCGATCTTGGAAAGTTGATGGAAGTACGTTTCTGATACTTTTCTGGCTTTTACTCTCCCTGCATTCTATTGAACTTGCATTGATATATTCCATGGAGCCTTGTTATTTATTTGTAGCTGAATAAATCATTTATGCAGTGGTTGTTAATTTTCCCTCCTTTTCTTTTCACTTATTTAGGTTCACGGTGATTACTCGGAAGATGTTGGTGTGAAATTAGATAGGCCGGCTGATGAGACAATGGCCGAGGCTACTCCGGAGGTAGTTGGAGCTTGAACAACAAGTTATCTTGTTTTATTCTGCTTCTAAGCGTTTCGTTGATTGATTTCCTTTTACCGGAAACTCGAGTAGAGAATTTCTTGGTATTTTTTATGGTATGGATAAGATTTTGCTGAGCATTGAGTAGACAATCTGTTACTCCTTGGATACTTGTGTACTAGACGTTACATCCATACAGTTTACTTTTAATAGTTCAATCTTCTATGTTTTATTAATTTTTATTTATTTTTTATATTGTTCGTTTGCTGATTTGTTAAGAAAGAAATCAAGTTCGGAAAGAAGGAAGGTTTAAGGGTTTATTTTACCTCTAAAGTAAATCCAGTTAACATTCTTATCCAAGTCTGTAAACGAACTGAAAAGTTATCGAATTGTTGATGAAAAGTTCATTTATTTTGTTTATTTATTAAACGAGTGAACATGAATAAAATTTTATGTTCGTTTAATTAAATGAACGAACATAAATAAATGACTCGTTCTTTCATTCAATCTACAGATCTTTTAAAATGTTAAGACTTAATAAATTTTAGCCTTAAACCCTCTAGTATTTTAAAACCCATATAAAAAAATATCCAAATCATTTAAAGAAAATATAAGCTCTAAAATTATTTGGAAAGAACAAAACTCTTCTCGAATATAAATCCAATTAATTTTATGTTCATTCGTTTGTGTTCGTTTGCCATTTTAACAAACGAACATGAACAAGCTATATTTCTTAAAAAAATGAACACGAACGAGAAAATTTGTTCGTTTAGTTGTTCATATTCATTCGTTTGTTCGGTTAAAATTAAACAAATGAACATAAATATCCCTCGTTTGTGTTCGTTCGATTCGTTTACATGTCTAATGTTATCTTTATTTATTAATCACATCAATTGTATTTTTAAAGTCATTTAATTGTATTTATTTTATTTTATTTATCAATATTAGAATTAAAGGAAATAATATTAAGCATCAAAAGTACTTAATTAAAATAGTTCAATAATAATATTCAAAGCACTAACAACATTAGACAATAAAAATCCATTCCAACAAGAGTTCTCAAAATGTATCATTTGATAAAAATAAGTACTTAAACTATGCTTTCCTTTTTGTTTTAAGTACCTAAATGAATAATGTTAATGTTCAAGCTGAATACAAGCATGGCTGCAAGGATAAAAGTCAAATTCCGTAGGGTGACATGTTTAGAACAATTACTGATGCTCATCCACGAATCTGAACAACCAAATTATCCAAGGAACTTAATCTTTTACCAGGTAAAATGTTTCCACTCTTGTCTGTGCTGCTTCAGTCCCTATGATTATTAGCAAACAGTATGTCGTTTTTGTACAACAATGAAAGTCACCGGTGGTTGATAGTCCGGCTCTAGAGAAGCACAGGCGGATCCGAAATGAAAATATATCCTCCTTCACCTTCCGGATTGCATCGAGCTTATAAAGCAGAACTTGATAGAATTGCCTGCTCCAACAATACACCAATTAATACAACACATGAAGGGTCCCCGACATATGCATATGCATGACCAACAGATCATACACGCCTACATTATTTAAATGCAGGACTACAACCGAGTCGAATTTTAGCAAAGGAATGGCAACCGGAATATAGAAACTTTTACCAACAAACCTGTAAAATAAAATCCGCAATGGCTTCTGCCCTGTTGCCTTCCTAAAGGATACCAGAAGATTCCTACACAAGAAACTGTAATTAGAAATGAAAATACACAACTTGATGATTCAATGCATTTATCTTTACACTAGTTTACCTGATCATGCCACCACTAATGGTATCGTGTGCGGGGTCCTGCTACGTTTTGTACAAGTCCTGCATGAGTTCCAGTCTATGCCCTTGAGCACAAACTAGCCTGGCGTATATTTTGTCACTTCGGGCCAGTCCTGTGAAACTACTACCTACAGAACCAGTATAGATGAACAAGCCGAGCCTAAAGTCTAGCAGACTAGCACCAAGATGGAAAACTAAGCTTTAGGAAAGGGAATTATACAGCTGCTATCAAGGGGCTGGAGTCTTCTCCGTTTGCCGGGTGAGTCACATCTGCTCCAAATATTATTTCTGGTACATCACTAACTAGTAGAATTCTGCAGTTGATAGCATCCAAAAGAACAGTGTTCCTGCCACCCATCTGTATCGATTACGACAAGTAGTGTCGTTTATTACGGACTTTCAGATACATATAGTTAAAAGAATATAGAAGCATATATAGTGACCTTAACATTGATCTTAACTCTTAAGAGCGACATTAGCCAAGTACTGTTTACAGATCTTAAAGACATGTTTTATGAGACAGCATCGTGATATCAAGCCTAGATCGGTTTCACAAATCCGCTTCATATCATCTGAAAAGGTTGAATGATCTCACAATTCAGATCATTATTCCAGTTTTTCCATCCTTTTCGGAGGCCAAAAGGAATAAAGCATAAGTCTAAGAATTCGAACGACAAACCATCATAGCCTTACAAACCATAAAGTGATCCATTGTTGTCAGGCAATATAGCTAAAAGAAGCTCTGGTTCTTTTTTACCTTTGTTTTATTCATGGATGCATGATGAACATACTTCAAAGCTTTTTCCACTTGCTCAGGCCTGGCATTGTAGATTGGAATAACCGGCTCCGGATTGAACTCCTGTATAACAGCAATGGCTTATAGAACACTCTCTTGCACACTTCGAGAGAAGTTAATACATGATCATCAGCTTACAGTCATCCCATTGATCATTTTCTTATATCACATGAAAGAAAGGGGCCAAAACATCAGCAACAAAGTAAGAGAACATCTCTATAAGTTGGCTGAAGAAACATGAACCCATGAACCTCATGCTTACCTTAGCTTTATTCGTAAATTGGACGTAATAAACGGCCTACGTTCATCTACCCTGTATCTTAACTAATCAGTAGACTCAAATAACGTAAATTTGGTATATTTAATCTTCACAAACATTTCAAGAATCTTAACTGACCTCCCTGATCAATATTTTTCATCCTTCCTATGCTGAAAAGGGAATATTGACAACATAAGCAAGCATATATTACCTTGTTCATCATATTCCACTGCCCAACTTGAGGCAGGCAATCCTTTTCTCTTCCAGTTTCATGATATTTCAGCTGCAGGGTGCCAATGGAATGGTCAGTAATGAATATGAAATCTTTTTTCTCTTTCAGATTATGCAGAAATTTAAGGAATATTACCCATGGGGCAGGAAGGATTCGTGATCGTGCCTCGACTGAAGCAAGCTTTTCACTAATTTTGATCCCAAAATCCTTTGCATATATAGGATCTTGGTCATAAGCACTATGTTGAACTGTCTGCTTGTGTTCAATATGCAGCAAAGACTGTTCAACATACTGCTTCCAAGAGAGCAGTTATTTGCTTCTCATTCAATCTTTTCGTGTATCACCATCCCTCGTCAATTCTGCAAGCCTGGCAAAGGAAAGAATAAGGATTTCTCATGAGAGCTTGAAAAAAAGGAGGGAGGAGGATGTTGTTGACAACCAAAAATGATGAAATTTTCAATGACATCTGACCTCCATAGGTAAATAATTTGCCTTTCTTTGGTTTCCTACTAGAAGGCAAGGTAGATGTGTATGCTGAATTGTAAAGCCATACATCTCTTGGAAGTATTCAACAACAGACTTCATGGTTGAGTTATCATCAACTGGAAACCTGAAAAAAAAAGCACCATAGCATTAGATGAAATGCCAAGAATGAAATCAGGCTGCAGCTGCAGTAAAAAGAGACCTTCACACTATCAGAATCAGATAATGGCCTTGACAGTACATCCCTGCCTAGTAGCTGAGCAACAGACTCGATTCCAGGGGGTGGCTCGGTGAATGCAGCTGAAGCCATATCTATTATGAGCAACAAGCTTTACTCGATCGAATGTTCACCCTAAGTTGGTTTCATGTATATATTGGGTAGAATGTAAACGGGTTGGGAAGGGTGCTAATGATGAGTTTGTAGTAGTTTGAAATAAAGATTACTAAAATGTGAAGTTATCTGGATTTTGTGGAGTATTGTTGTATTGGGTTAGAAACAAGAATAAACCTTTTCCTTGAGAGCTTGCAACAGTTTGAAACCAGGACTATATTTAAAAAAGGTATAATGCCACAAATATTCCCCAATATTTACCAAAATGATCATTTTTGCCCATATTTTTTTGGGAGCATTTTGGCCCCCAAAGTTCCACTTTAGGACAAAAAGCTCCATCTATAGATGAAAACTATTAGATAACACACGATTAGCGCTTCAAAATAGGAGTTTTTAACCTTAAATGAAACGTTGATGGCTAAAATGCTCCAACAAAGTGATTATTTTGTCAAATGTTAAGGGTCTTTTTGCTCTAAAATGAAATGTTGGGGCTAAAATGCTCTACAAAAATAGAATAGGAGGTAAAATGATCATTTTGATAAATATTAGGGGTTAATATTTAGCATTATGCCTTTACAATATTAAATTCTCACAATGTTTATTCCTAAAGTTTGATTTAATAAATATTCATATATTTAAGTATTTTGGCCCAACAATTCATTTTAGAATAAAAATGTCTCTAACGCCTATTAAATAGTTACTGGCCCGTATTTGTTTTTTTTAGTATTTTGATTCCCCAATATTTCATTTTAGGATAAAAATATCTTATTTTAGAGCATTAACCATTTGTAGTCTTACGATTTCCATCAATGGAGGTATTTTTTGCCCCAAAATAAAATGCTAGGAGCCAAACGTTCCAAAAAAAATGGATCAAGTGATTATTTAACCAAATGTTACGGACATTTTTTTTGACATTATACCTCTCATTATTAGGGTTAAATAGTATTTTGACCCTAAATTGCACTTCATTATCATTTTGGTATTTGGATAATTTTTGTTTATTTTAGCTCTTAAACATTCACTTTGTGATTCATGTTACCTTAATTCATTTTGTGTTAAAAAAAAGTCACGTGACATCCTAGAAACATATCATGTTACACTTGATATATGTTAAATATAAAATTTATAAAAAAAATATTAAAAAAAACTTCAAGATAATATTTAGAAAAACTTTATGATTTTTATAAAAATGGTATTATTTTAATTTTAGATTTTTAAAGTTATTTTATGAATTTTCTTGGATCCACAACCAGCTTCAACAGGTTCTTCCGTTTGCGTTTTCTTTGTTTATAATCTCGACTTGTTTGCTGGGTTATTGTGCAATTTTACAGTTTT